AGTGTAAATTATATTCTTTTATTTGCCTCTGATTTTCCTCATGCTTGCCCAAAAATCTCCCTATTTCCAAAATTATACTTGCCCAATTTTTCAGAAGCCATACTTTTCCACAAGCTCCTTCTCTCCTCACCTTATTCGAATATTTGAAAAAAAATCAAATCTCACAACCCAAATTCATACAAGAAGTTTCCACTACTTCATTCTTCCTTATCCTTTTTTGAACCAAAAGAGAAAAGCGAATTCTTGCTCATCTCTCTTCTTGAGACAACGACGATGAAGGAGACCTTCCCCTTAGATATTCGTCTCCTCTCATACTCACCTCCAAAAAAAGCCAGGACGAGGAAAGAAGAAGAAAGAGATATCATTTTTTTATTATTATTTTGATTTGAAGAAAGGGATTTCAATTTTTATTGGATTAGTTTTCCCTTAGATGATTTTGATATAAAGGTTCTGAACTTGGTTTCTTGTTTGGTTTTGGAGGGGTCTTCTTGTGAGGGAAGAATGCAGGAAAGGAGAGGTTGTGTTGTCCTCGCCATCGATCACATTAGTGACCACTGGTGACGTGGGGAAGATTAGGGTCCTTCTGGTATCTCGCTACTAGGCTCCTCAATTTTTTGGCCCAGAGAAAGTATCTAAGGGGTCCTATGACTCAATCAACGATCTGGGTTTCCGATTTCTTCAAAAATCTGGCCGGAGGGGAGAATGGTCTGATGATTCAGCTTGTTGTCCGTTCTTTTCCCTTTTTGCCAAATAAAGGCAAGATCTTAAGTTTTGATCTGGACACGAGGAAGGCGAAAAGAAATCCTTGTGTCGGCGAGTTTTGCTCAGCAGATTCCACATTGGCACAGCTTATGGCGTTGGTAGTAGGGGAGCGGGCACTAGTGAAGGCTACATAGCCTAACTTTTACTAGGTCCGACATTCATCTGATGGTTCCTGATCGGAGACGGGTAAGGCTTTCTAGAAGCCCAACGGAAAATGGCAGAGACGATTAAGACTCGATGATGACTCAGTGATGGGTGGCTGAGTTAGAAGTCTGATTTGTCTCAACTCGGAAGGAGGGTTGCCTCAAAGCTTGATCTAGGATATGGTCTCAAACTGGGTGACATGGTAGCGTCGATCTGGGTGACGAGGCAATGATGATCTTTGCAATGAGGCGGCCATGCTCTGGTCCATTGGAGGAGAGATCGAGAGGCTCTTATGGCGAAGATCTTGGAATTTTTTTAAATATGATAATTTGCGTCGATGATTTCACGCAGGTTAACTAATTATGAATTTAATTATGAAGATGGATTTTTCCAATATATAATTAGTGTCGATTAAGATCAACGTAAAATAGTTTATGTCGGTTACTCTAAGGGGTTCCCAAAATCGACACGGATTTGGTTAATGTCGACACGTTTAGTATCATTTAAGTGAACTCACACAAAAAATTGTTGGTTAAAATATATAAAATAACCGACGCTAAATGATTGTTTATTGTATTGTAGCAAACCGGATGAAGCATCTGTTGGATAAGATTGTGTCCCCTCGCAGTTTGCTTTTGTTCTAGGAAGGAGTATAATTAGTGTTGTCAAAGCCGACACGAGCCGGCTGGTCGGACCGGTAAAACTGATACCCCGACCATCAATTAGATTCGGAACACTCCCAAAGCCACGATGGTCAGAAAGACCAGTTAGCGAGCAGCTAAAATGGTTAACTGTTCGAGGCGATCAATCGGTTTTTGCCTTCTGCCCGATAAAAAAAATATTGTAGGAAGAAAGTTGTTGCCATCTCTCTCTATTCCTCCGGCGGTCTTCCTCGGCCTCACCTCCATCGGTGATTCCCTCCACATCCAACCTATTGTTGGGGAGAGAGGAAGAAGGGGAAGAAAGAAGATCAATAATGAAATGAGAGAGGAAGAAGTGGATGAAGGAAAACAAAAGAATGAGATCTAGATATGGATTCCAAAAGAGAGACGAGGAAATGAAATAGAAAAGAAAGGCTTCTTGGTTCATAGAGTAAGAGAAGAGAGGGAGGAAATGAGAGAGAAGATAAATGGGTGACCGCCTAGATGGGTGAGTTAGGGTTTTCAATGGCAATATATATAATGTAAAAACACAAGTGGTATCTGCAAAGTAAAATTCCTTTTAGCCATTAAATTGTTAAATTATTACTTTATGTGTCTTTTATTTATGATATTATTTGTTCATAAGGTACCGGTTCTCTAATGAGTTTTTAACAATTTTGTATCGGTTGAACCACCAAAGTAGGAGCCGTTCGCGTTACTAGATCATGCACCGACTCAGTTCTGACAACACTGGGTATAACGTCGTGGTAGCTTTTGAATGCTTCCTTACATTCAAGCAAAACCCCAAATATAAGGCGGGTATCTCGTGGCGAAGATTGACATGGTGAATGCCTACGATATAGTGGAGCAACACTATCTAAAGGGTATGGTGCGGAGAATGGGCTTTGACAATTAACAGGTGAAGCTTATTATGATTTGCTTAATACGATATCCTATTATGTACTGGTAATGGACACCAGTTTCTAGCATTTTGTCTAGGCATGACATTCTACTATCGACGTATCCGTTCGTCCTCTATGTTGAGGGTTTGTTCTCATTTACGATATCAACCATAGAGCAAAGAAAGCTTCATAGTTTTCAACCTGCACAATGAACCTTGATGGTTTAGCACCTGTTTTCACTAACGATAAAATATTTTTTTCCAGGGCCACTACTCAAGCAAATAGAACTGAAGAAGATTTTTATGGACTATAAACAAGATTCAGTATAACAAGTGAGCTTCTAGAAATTTGAGGTCTCGTTCAACGAAAATGTTAAGTCGTATCAAAATTTTGAAATCAATGACATATTGGGGATGAAACTAGTCCACAATCACGATAAATACTTTGACTTAATGATGGTGGCTCGATATAAGAAGGAAATGTGTTGGTGATTTGGTTGATAGAGTCTGTGAGAAGTTGACAGGATGGAAAGGAAAAACACCCTCGGTCACAACAAGGGAGGTGCTAATAAAATTAACGACACATGCTCAACTTACTTATGTGATGTCATTGTTTAAGGTAGTGAAGGGGTGATCGGCGAGGTCCATAACTTGATATTTGAATTTATAGTGGGGACAGTTTGGCACATAGAGAAGAACTCATTAGATCAACCAGGAAAAGTTATTGAATGAACATGAGGTTGGGGTAATCCGGTAATGGGATTCAGGGACCTCCTGGGTTCAACGTGACTCTCTTGGAATTTTTTTTTTTGCGAATTCGTAAGAATCCAAACTCCCTAATTGCCCAAATCCTAAAGTTGATGAACCACAAGAACGGTTATGTGTTGGAGGTGAGAGTTGGATATCACCCAAACTTCATATGGAGGAATCCCATGAGTGCCCAAGACTTCCCACTGTATCGAGTTGTTTTCTGTCATATGCACTTAAGCAACTGTCGATGGAAGCCATAGTGAGTGAGCTGATGAATGAAGATAGGAAACAATAGGATATGACAATACTATGAAGTTTTTTTTTTTCCAGCGGACATAGTACTCACCATTTCTCAATGTCGATCTAGAGTAATGGGGAAAGGGATGGAATGATTTGGCAATATACCATTAGTGGAGACTATATGGTAAATGATGGATATCGAAAATGGCTAGTAAGTTTTCTTGAGGAGGGCGAAGTTTGGGTGGCCGAGGATAGTGCAACATGGAACTGACTATGGGGTATGAATGTCCCCTCTAATATTAAACATTTAATGTGTAATTTTACTCAAAACTTACTAGCAACAAGGGACAAGGTTAGTGCTCAAATTAAAGAATGGATTGACAAGTTCCCCTTCCGCGATGCTAGAGAAACTCAAGCTAGTACCTATGCGGAGTTCTAGTGGGGGTCGAGAATTTTCAGGCAATCACTTTATGTAGATCTCTATGCTTTGTAAAGTGGCAACTCAGCTTTGAAATGGGTGCAAACTGCCATGGATGTTGCGGATAATCTGAGGATGGAAGGATGGTGTCTGTTGTTATGGTTCTCGTGGAACGAAGAAATGCACACTTGTTCAATGGTCAAAAGATGGCGGAAGATGAAATAGTGGAACGTGCAATGTATAATTTGAAGGATTACCAGCAACACCAAGTAAAGAAAGGGCCGTGTAGGATGGCTACATCCTGAAAGAGATGGAGATGCAAAATTGTTTTATGATTCGATATAATGTGTAGTTGTTTTAAAATCCATAATAAAATTCTCAATACAATCTTGCATCCAAACAGAGTCTTATATATTTTGTAGATAGATACTGGAGCACTTCTACAATGCTATATAACATCGGTGCTTTAATGTACAACTTAAAGTTGTACCATAACATTAAATGTATAAGTTTAGGTTGTACCAAAAAGGAATTTGTATCATTATGTTATGATACAACATTACAACTTGAAGTTGCACCATCAAATAAAGGTACAAGTTCAAGGTGTACCATAAAAGAATTTGTAGAAAAATATATAGGTACAATATAAAGTTGTACCATAACATTAAATCTACAATTACAAATTGTACCATAAATACAAATACCTATATCACCATTTCTAAAATTCCTCTAGATTTTTTTTTTACAACAAAAATTCCTCTAGATACTGTCCACGTATTTCCACAAAATAATCTTTAGATGTACACAGTTCACACTTCACAGCAACCGAGTCGGAACTCGAAACTTAAAGGGAAGGACACGCGGTTTGGAGGCCCAGAAGCCCAAACTTTGACGGAGAACAGGCCCAAAAAGTATCGTCAACAAGTCAACTTTATTCAGCGGTGTCTTCCTTCCTCGCTGCTTCTTTACCATTTTTCCCATCTTCTGCTACAAATCCAAATCCAGAGTTTCCAGAGACCTCATCGCTTGTGTCTCTTCTCTATCTCTCTCTTCTTTGCTCCTTCTCTCTTTCGTCAGTCTACCAAATCCTCTTCTTTTCGTCCCCTCAATCTTCCTCACTCCGCCGGTAATCGCTTCAACCGCCATGGATCTAGCAGCGGAGGAGCTCCAATTCCTCTCAATCCCAGACATTCTGAGGGAATCAATTTCGATCCCGAAGCAATCCCCCAAAACCTTCTACCTCATAACCCTAACCCTAATCTTCCCGCTCTCCTTCGCCATCCTCGCCCACTCCCTCTTCACTCACCCAATCCTTTCCCACCTCGAGAACCATCCCACCGACGATCCGGCCACCACCCGCCACGAGTGGACCCTCCTCCTCGTCTTCCAGTTCTGCTACCTCATCTTCCTCTTCGCCTTCTCCCTCCTCTCCACCGCCGCCGTCGTCTTCACCGTCGCCTCCCTCTACACCTCCAAGCCGGTCTCCTTCTCCTCCACCTTCTCCGCCATCCCCAAGGTCCTCAAGCGCCTCTTCATCACCTTCGTCTTCGTCGCCCTCCTCATGCTCGCCTACAACACCGTCTTCCTCGTCTTCCTCGTCATCTTCATCATCGCCATCGACACCCAGAACCCTCTCCTCGTCCTCTTCTCCATCATCGTCATCTTCATCCTCTTCCTCGTGGTCCACGTCTACATCACCGCCCTCTGGCACATGGCCAGCGTCGTCTCCGTCCTCGAGCCCATCTACGGCTTCGCCGCCATGAAGAAGAGCTACGAGCTGCTCAAGGGGAAGGCCGGAGCCGCCGCGGTGCTCGTGTTTGGGTATTTGTCCATCTGTGGGGTGATTGGGGGCATCTTCGGATCCGTGGTGGTTCACGGCGGAGAGGGTCACGGGGTGTTCACAAGGATCGTCGTGGGTGGGTTCCTGGTTGGGGTTTTGGTGATCGTGAATCTGGTGGGTTTGCTGGTCCAGAGTGTGTTCTACTATGTCTGCAAGAGCTACCATCACCAGGGGATCGACAAGATGGCTTTGCATGATCAGCTCGGCGGGTACCTCGGAGAGTACGTGCCTCTCAAGAGCAGCATTCAGCTGGAGAACTTGGATGCTTGATGCGGGCGGGTGGCCAATGTAATTGACAAACAGGTAGACAACAAGAAACTGTCATCTCCGTTTTCATGGCTCTTATGTATGTAGTAACTGGTGAATAGAATACCTGGGAAGTTATTGCTTTCTTTGTGAACACGGAAGAGGTTAAGAAAAGTGGGGGAAATCGTACATTTTGCAGTAAGAACTTGGTTTTAAGTAATCTTTGTATCATCCTTTGATGTGCCCACCAATGTTAAGAAAGCATTTGTGTTGTTGTTGTTTGATGCTTAATGAATAGCACTAGTATTATGAGTTGCAAGTAGTTCCCTGCTGTTCTTGATGTCATTTAATGCATGTTTTCCTGCAATTGCGTTAAGGAATGGTTTTTGCTTTTTCTAGCTAGCTTGCCAAATTGTTATTCGATCCCTTGATATACATATATGGTAACTGCATTAACAGTAGGTTTTGATTAGTGAATGCATCGGATCGGTGCAGATCATCTGGCCGAATACAGTATATAGCTGTGTAGAGGTTTGTCACTAGTTGGTTTTCGTCTCGAATTTGACAAATCCTTCAACCTCAGCTCTTCTCACTAACTCCAGGTGGATTTGATTGAGTTCCATGTGGTTGATAGTTTCATCTTCACCTATCAGATTGAATGTTAGTCTTGCTCAATCAGTGGTTGTTAGGGTGAGTTCATTTCGGAGGTAGAAAAAAACGAGGCATTGAACGAATAGTATAAGCCGAATTCGTAATGTAGAACTTCCATTCTTCTCTGTGATTAAGGGATGAATGGCCTTCAGGATTCTCCTTCCACATCTGTGTTTGCGACCATTGTGAGTTTGCTGCAAAGAGATTTGGTGGAAGTTGAGTATCAATAAGGTTTGTAATGTGAACTCCAGCTTCTTGTGTTGATGAGGCAATGGAAAATAGGACTAGTAGCATCCATAGGATGATATTCATCTAAACAAAGACCTTATTAAAAACAGTAATCAAGACCAAAGAACAACGGTAGTCCGTTTCTGTGGAAGAAGGCAACAATAATCAGGAATCATGAGGATGGTGATGTGCCATTCTTTGTATCTATTCCTTTCCTTGGGAAAACACCAGTAGAGAAGAAAGGACGAGACGATGATGATGTTTCTCACAGGTTGCTCTTTGGGACGCCAACTGGTGCCTCTCTGGACCTCTTCTCAACAACTTTCGACAGCTGCTTCACATCCTCCTTCCCCAAACTCCTGGGTTTGCTCAGCCACTGCCCTCCGTCCACCACCATAGTCGTCCCGTTCACGAATTTCCCTGAAAAGAGCACAGTAGGATAAGGGATTCCAATCAACAACTTGTCGAAGACGACGGATGGATTGAGTTATACAAAACCTGCATCAGATGCTAGGTAGAGGACTGCCATGGCGATGTCCCATTTATCCCCCAGCCGGAACAGCGGGTCGTTCTCTTTGGTTATGTTGGGCAGCACCAGCTTGCTGACACCAGCAGTGTCCTGAATCGGACCTGGAGCGATCCCGTTCACTCTTATGTCGTAGTCTGTTCCCCACTCCAGCGCCAGGCTGCGTGTAACGCTGTCCACTGCTGCCTAACGGATTCAACATTCGTTCTCGATGAACTTCGAGCGATCGATCGGAGAAGAGAAGGCGTCAGAAAGAACTATTAGCTAAGCTTTAGCTCACCTTGGCAGCAGAGACATGGATTTGGTACCAAGTTGCAGTGTAATGTAGAGTTGCGCTAATGTTGATTATGGTGCCACCAACGTGCGAAGGGTCTTTGCCTTCTCCTCCTTTCTTCAGATACTTCACTGCTTCGTGACACATTGTGAATGTCCCGACGGCGTCGATGTCCATCACTGCCACCATCCAATTGAAAGCAGGAACGTCAGGTTAAATCTACGGAGATTTGAGGAGAGGAGAGGAGATGAGATGGCAACCTGTTTTGAAGCCATTAGGAGAGAGATGCTCGGCCGGCGTGAGGAAATTCCCAGCTGCGGCGTTCACGAGGATATCAAGCCTCCCAAAATGCTTCACCGTCCCTTCCACTGCTCTGGCCGCGTCTTCTCTATTCCGAACGTCTCCGGCGAACCCCGTCGCCTAATTGAAACGCGAGAAGAAATAGATGAAAATTACCCAATGACATGGACGACTGCAGAAACCCAATTGATTCGCACTTACGGGGACGCCGAGGGATCGGAGGGACGAGACTGCGGAATCGACGATGTGTTTGCGGCGGCCCATGACGGCGATGGAGGCGCCGTGTTTCCCGAGCTCGAGGGATATCCCGTAGCCGATCCCGGAGGCGCCTCCAGTCAACAGAGCCACCTTCCCCTTGAGTATCTCCGGCCTGAAAGGTGACTCTGCCGCCATCGTCGTCGTGACTTGGTAGACGACTGACTGACTGCTGAAACGATGGAGAGTTGAAATCGATGACGGGGTTTTTCTTTCTCCTTTCCTTGCGATCGGTCGCTGCAGCTGTGGATTCGAATTGGGTATGGTGAGACTGGAGCGGTCTGACAGTATATGGGAACGGAAACTAAGGAAATGATTAGGCCGCCGGCTGTGTTTGGCTTTGGCAGATAAAAATGTTTGTTTAGGACTACTGGTGGTTTGGATTGGCGCACGTCCGCCGACGGTGCACAATGCGGGGGCCTACTACAATCCTCGTTTCCTTCGTCGCGAAAAGTTTTTGTCATTGCAAACGCGTAGTAGTTGTCTCATTAGAGGGTTCGTTTGCTTGAGTCATTTTATGTCAATTGACTCGTTTACTAAAGAAAAAATATATAAGTTATTTTGTTCATACGAAAGTTCCAAATGACTCATTATTTTATCAAAATATTTCAACTATGTCCTTATTAATTTTATGTAAACCCACTTTTATCCTTCTCTTTTATTATTTGTTTTCTATTTCATTGCTCCGTCTCCTCTCGTAATATTTTTTCTTTCTCCCAAATTTCATTAACGGTGAAGAGGGTCGGTCATCTAAGTAACAACACATCATTTTCGTTGACAAATATTACCAATTGTAATTAGCTTAAAATTCGAGACTTATGGAGGCGTTATCTTTTATAAAGAAAGCTAACCTGTAATTATTATTTAAAATTAGAAAGTAGTATTATACATGGCAAACACCCAAATAATACTTTGTTGGTTGCAAAATGATTTTATTTATATGGTTGGTTTTATTATAATAGAAAACAAAATAACGGAACATATTCCATGTAAGGGCAAAATTTTGTTGCCGTTTCTTTAATTGGGATTTTGTTTTCTAAATAATTTGTTAGAAAAAAGGGGCAAATCGAATTTTCCATAAGTTTTATGGGCGGCAAATAGTAAGTCTAGGGTGTCAAACAACAACCCTCTTTTACGGGTAAACAGGTTCTAAGGTTCAAACAGAGGATAATCATCTTACGGTTGATAATTTTCCTATTTAAGAAATCGAGTTTCTTCTTTCCATCCATGACGAGCACTATGGAGCTCTCCCAGTTGGAGAAATTTCCTTCATTCGGGGGTTGATAAACAAGACATTGCCCCCAATTCCCAGAAGGATGTATGTAGAATGGACTCACGGGATCCAAAATTGAAACGTGGTGGTAAATAATTGCACCATTGGAGAACGAATGACCTCCAGTGTGAGGATTTGTGGCTTCGTCCTCGGAAGAAGAAGAGTGTACCTCCATAGGAGGACTGGGAAAAATTGGAGAAGAGGAAGTAAAACGAGAGACAAGAGCAAGAAAGTGAGCAGAGGCTTAGAAGAGCTCTAATACCATGCTAAAATACTGATTGATTAATAATTAGAAGAATGATTAATTAGCTTTTGAATTTTGGATTCTCAAAAATTGATGCGGTTGCTAACTATGTATAATGTTGGGCCTGACTGGTGTACTCTTGTCTCCTGGAGTATAATATACTCCAGATACTCCTTGTGAGATATCATTATATAGACCATGAATTAAACCGAGTTTGGGGTATGTACTATACACTAAACTCTAATGGATTAACCCCAGGCTCCAATTCTCTAAACCCAAACCTGAAGTTCAATTTAATAGAAAATAGCAATTGACCATTGAGATTCGTCGAAGCTCATTGAAGTGCATCTAACGCCCAGATCACTTGGAGTATACCAGCCATTATCGTATAATGTTTATGCGTTAGAAATAAAACATTATAATTTTTCTTTTTACAATTTCTCCAAATAAAACTAGAATTGCCGCAAAAAAAAAAAAAAAAATGATAATATGAAGATGAGAACATCCACCATACTCTAGGTTCGAATCTTGGGGTCAACAACCAATGAAAAAGAAGAGGCAATGAAAAAACTAATAGCCTCATATTATTTATTATACCATTGTTCAAAAGAAAGTTCGTGGACAAAATACCTAATACATAGATTTATGTGGACTATGAATTAATTACCTTCTATCGTTGCTCAAACATACAAAAAAACAATTTATCGTTGCAAGATCATTAATTTGGTAACAATAAAATATTTTTTCTGTTTGTTGGAGAGATCCATATAAACCCATAATACTAATAGGTGTTTTAATAGCAGGTCTTTAAGGCTGCTATTTTTCCTAATGCCTTCATCCTAGGGTTGGGGCTGTTAATGATACTTTGTTCACTCCATCGATGTAACTACAAATGAAGATATATGAGCTAGCATGAACCTTAAATTTCACAACATTCCTCCAAAAAACCCTCACAAAGGAGCTTTATCACAATTCATATCATACTACTCTCCCAAGTGCCAACCAACTAGAAAGTTCCTCGCCACTCTATTCTTACTCTTAATCTTTAGTCTAGTTTCATATATAGCTGTAATATCTACTTTATCAACATAAAAAAATAACTACCAAAAATATATTTTCTAGGGTTCTTAAACCCTCTTACATTTCAAGATGCGATAATATGTTCCCCGGATTCTTCCTAATGGGGTGGACCTCAAGGTGGCCGATTTCATTTGCCCAACTGAAGGTCGTTGGTTTCCGGATAAGCTTGGAGAGTGGTTTCCTTCTGAGATTTGTCGTGCTATCCATGGTATTCCTTTGCCTAGAAGGGCTATGGAGGATAGATTTGTCTGGCATGCGACGGAAACTGGGTTTTCAATGTGAAATCAGCTTACCACCTGGCAGTTCGCCTCGACCAGCAAGCTGGGGTTTGGCTCCAATGGTTAGCTAGATGGATCGGGGAAGTTGGAAGCGGGTGTGGAATTTGGAAATTCCGCCTAAGTTAAAGGTGTTCCTCTGGCAATTTTTGCATCATTTCCTCCCCACTACGGAGGCTCTCATTTAAAGGAAAGTGGCAGTTCATCCTAGATGCCCGGTTTGCGGGGCTGCGCCTGAAATGATGGAACATCTTTTTTCGACTGTTGTGTAGCTCGGGCATTGTGGGATTCTGCTGGGCTAGAGCCTGTGGGCCAAGGGTAGCCTCGCCTCACTTTCCCTCTATTTCTCAAGCAACTTCTGGCCATTGTTAAGGACCCTCCCCAGGTCATGGCTGTCGTGACTGTGCTCTGGCGGATCTGGAAGTCTCGGAATTGGGTTGTCTTTGGAGGCAAACAATTTGGGATATCGCTCCTGCTGCGTCAGTACCACCACAAGCTGCAGGAGTGGACTTCTCTGCCACGAGATGTGGTGGGGTGTGCCCCTGTGGGGGAAATCCCTTTGGGGTCCCCTGCTAGCCAGGGCTCCCTCATTTGTAGGTGGGATGGAGCAGTTAGGCTAGGGTCCCACTCGGCAGGAGGGATGGTGATGTTGGTTCTGGATGGAGTGGTTGTTGGTGCGACAGGTTTGTGCTTTCCGGGGATCGATGATCAGTTGCTTGTGGAGCTACTGGCCCTCAGGGAAGCCATTCTTTGTTGTCGAAATAGAGGGCTTTTGCTTGTTCGTTTTGTAGGGGATGCGAAGGTGGTTGTGGACAGGCTCAACCTGGCTCAGGGGAGTGATAGTACATCGGGAGCTATCTTCCGTGAGGTGTTGCTCTATCTAGCTAAGAATGCGGGGTTTAGTGTTAGGTTCGTTGGTCGGAGTAGTAACTGGGTAGCCCATTTGGTGGCTCGGAAGGCCATTTCTTTGTACCCGATAGCGAGTCGTTCTTTTGATTTTGTAGCCTGGTTACGACATGTGATGTAATGATCAATTCTTCAGTATCAATATATGATTATCTTTTGTAAAAAAAAAAAGACTTCAAAAACCACAATTTGCTGCCTAATTTAAAAAAGAAAATGAGCCAAACCTTGTCAACCCCATAAATTGTTCGTCCATGTTTGTGAAAAGGAAAACTTTAGAGAAGCCTCTAAGCAATTGCTCGATTAGACAGTCCTTCAAACAAGTTGTCCCCTTTTCTTTTATCTCACTTGATATATGGAAACCAATCCCAACTCGCTCTAGTTGCTAGCTAGAATTTAAGACAATTTTCAATAGCTACCTCAAACAAATACAACCTGGAGGGAGCCCAACCCTTCAATTGGGGCATTAGCAATGCAACCGTTTTGGTGATGAAAATCTAGGTCGAGCAATGCCAACGGCAGGAGAGAGCATAGGGAAAATGAAAATACACATTAAATAATTTTTCGTATACCAATAGCTAAAACTAAAAAAAACTATCAGAGCCTGGTTTCGATCCAGGGACCTGTGGGTTATGGGCCCACCACGCTTCCGCTGCGCCACTCTGATTAGAATGTTAACAAATTGTCTTCTAAATTTTTGATAATTTATTAGTTTTCCACATAATCCTAAACTTTTACTCTAATTTCATTTGTGTTAATAGTATTTTTGGTTTTATGTAAACTTTTACTCTAATTTCATATGTGACAGATTCATTTTGGGCATAATGATATTTATGTGATGTTGTTGTGGACTACCTTCCCATTAAAATCCCTTTTGTCCTCTTCATTCCCTCGACGGAGGTTCAAGATTTTGTAGTTAGAAAATTTGACCAAGAAACATATAGAAAATTTTGAGAAAGTTCAAGGTTGGGGAAAGATCTCTTTCTTATTCTAATGCTGACTGTCGCTCAATAGAAAGGTAGGCTGACTACTATGAGGTTTATTGTAAAATTCCCATCCTAGTAGAACTAGAATTTCCTTCCATATCTTATATACCCACAGAGGTTCGTCAACTCATCAAGAACCTAGGTTGTAAAGAGTTCTTTGACCGCTAAAAACCAAACTCCCCTGATACTGCCCACTGATTGTTAGGAAGTTTTACTTAAATCCGTGGCGGATGGTCCACAATGCTCACACCTGGCCTCTATCAATCCATGCCTTCTTCAAAGGTTCGACTCTTCAAAGTGAAAATGAGCGGAAGTCTCATGGATTTCACTTTGAAGAAGAACCAAGGAAGATTACAAAGGGATCCCTCAAAGTTGTAAACTTGCCGAAGCATCTCATAGTTCTTAATTGGCTGACAACTCACTTCTTTCTTCCTAGAGCTCAAAACAATACCTACCTTCAACCCCTTGATCTCTTCATTCTAATATGTGGCCTAAAAAAAGCTATTGAATTTTGCCCTTTAATATATGTTCACATGGCCAAGATTGTCGAAGAGGAGAAAACTTGGAATATAGAACTTATGCCACATTCCTAACCTAGTTCCTCCAGGCTACTGGAATGGATCTAAACGGGTTTGCTATGGAGTTCCAGTTTAGCATCGCTACTTTGTTTAGATCCTAGATTAGACTGGTGCTTGTCAGCACTGAGAAAACACTACCATCAGATGGGGATGCGCAAA